GGGGGTCAAGTGACCCCGGCCAGGTGATTGTCTAGCCTCCTTTTAAAGACCCCCAGGGTAGAAGTGAGCACCACTTCCCTTGGAAGTTGGTTCCAGATCCTAGCTGCCCTGACTGTGAAGTAGTGCGTCCTGATATCTAGCCTGAATCTACTCTTGGTCAACTTATGGCCATTATTCCTTGTTATTCCCGGTAGTGCTCAGTGGAACAGGGACTCTCCTGTTGCCCGCTGGTTCCCTTTGGTCAGTTTATAGATGGCCACCAGATCCCCTCTCAGCTTTCTCTTGTGGAGGCTGAACAGGTTCAGGTCCCATAGCCTCCCTTTGTAGGGCTTGCCTTGCTGCCCCCTGATCATGCGAGTGGCCCCCCTCTAGACCCTCTCGATGCTGCCCACATCCCTCCTGAAGTGCAATGCCCAGAACTGGGTGCAGTACTCCAACTGCAGCCTGACCAATGCCGCATAGAGGGGGAGGATCACCTCCTTGGACCTGCTTGTGATGCATCTGTGGATGCATGAAAAGGTGCAGTTAGCCTTCAATCTCCATAGCTTGTTATGTGCAGACAATGCTCCAGTTTAGTTTCAATGGGAGTTGTGTGTTCATTAAAGCAGAGAACAAGGCCTGCTTTATACTTATTCCAGTAGACATTTAATTTGTGTGCTTCTATATGTGGCTGAGATGGATGGCAACAATCTCTAGAAAAAAATGTAGTGGTTACTTTTACTGAAAGACTCTTGTCTGTTATTTTAGTGTTAGACAGACCACAGAGGGCTGCTTATTGAAAGTGATGGGAGTTTCACTCAAGTAAGAACGGGAGGTTAAGACCCATAAATGGAACGGGAAATTTCATCTGGTGGGAATAATCTTAACTGTACCCAAACCCTTATCCTGCACATGGGGAGCTTCCACACAAGGCAAGAGCCACCTATATGTAGGACTACAGATGTGTATTGCTTTTCTAGTTATCCTGGAACTTGTCTTGCATGCTATAATGTCCTTTGAATGTTTGGACTTTGTTCAAGAGATGCTGGCCCCAAAATGATAGTCATTCACAGATAATGACTTCAAGTGCACCTTTTTCACTGAGCAGTTTGAATTCCAGGTCCTGAGATTGATCCATTCTGGTATGTGGGACGTGGAGTCCGACCTATTGGCCGGTTTGGAAAAAGGCAGCTAAGAAGCAGCCAGAGCAGCTTAAAACCCGGAGACAGAGGCCCGGACCTGATCTTGAATGCATTATGGGAACCAGAAGCAATGGATGCAGAAGAGGATGATGGCTGGTGACCTCATTTTTTGCTGGAGTAACAACACTAACTTCCATTTCAATTGCATTCTCCTGTCTCCTCACACATACTTTAACCCTTTTGCCTAGTTGTCCTCTGCCATGTAATCTATTTATTTCCCATGCAAATTCATTTAAAAAGAATTGCACTCAGGTTTCAGATGGAAGGTGAAAAGTGGCACTGAATGCAACCATAAGTTGTTAGTAGTATTTTTGCTCTGAGCAAAGCACTCCCCCAATAATACCCACCCTGTGCCTTGACATCACCATTCACTGTGACATTAGATCTGCCCAAGAGCCAAACGATTCTTGTGCTTGGAATTAACTCTGTATAAAACATAGTGTCAGTGCTAACGTGTCAACAAGCCTTTCTGTCGCATTTCCAGTGGGTATATTGCCTGCCCTTATTGGTAGTTTAGTGTTCACAGGGTCTTTAATCCTACATTATCATACTGGGGAAACAGGACCAAGGTATGCTGTTGTCCTGATTTAGCTCCCTTTTAACAATCTTAAATATAATCTTCATGAGACTTCGTTAGTCAGGGAGCTCCAAGTCACTCTTCAAGCACCATAAGTAATGAACAAACCTATTATAATGGACTGCATAAAGAAGTCATGATTTCTGGCTTAACATGAATCATCATTATGTCAGTTAATTCAATTATAGTAATTTTATGAGCAATACTAATTACAATATATTTAATCTTGATTAGTAGCTATTACCACCAAAATACTTCAGATAAAATTATAAGCAGTGCTAATACTTTGTGGCTTATATCCAAAAAAGATCATTTAACACTTAGCTAATGAACTAGAATTAACATTCAATTCATGAATAGCACTGCAGAAGAAGCATTAGAAATCTTTCTAGCCTTGTTCTTCTTGAATCACTGTCAGAAAGTTCAATAACAGTGAATTAATCAGCAAATAATTAAGTCCTTGTAATTATTTCTGCCCATGAATTATCTGCCAACAAGATCTGTGTTGCTTTACAGAATTTATTGTTATTGTCAGTTGTGTGACACTTTGTATGGAGAAATTTGGGACTTGGGCCTGTTTGCAAACTACTTACTATGACTCTCCATTACTTGCTATTCACATCATATATCACTGGACTCATGTGGCACTGTCCTTTTTTTTAGAAGGGTTGGTGAATGCTTTATGACTCCTCCAGTTTATTAAACCTATTCATGGCCATTTATAAATGTTTGGCACATCTTGCTTGAATACTGTATTTTATCACATACAACACAGCCCCAAATAAAACATGCACCTTGTTTTTAGAAAACAGAATGTAGAAAAAAAGGCTTTTTCAGAGTCATGGCTGACAGCGTGGCCACCCTCTACTGTGGCTGTAGAGAAAGTCCTCCTAGAAACATAGTGTGTCCAAAAGTATGGCATCAGGAACTCCCAGTGTGGCTGACTGTCTCCTGACAGCATGGAGTTCCCCACTGTCTGGAAGACAGTGGGGAACTCCATGCTAGGAACTCCATGCTAGGAACTCCATGCTAGGAAAAGTGGCAACAATGCAGGTGCAGCTTCCAGGTGACTGGCCCCAGTGCAGGCACAGGGAAAGTTCCTTGGTGCTGATGTTCTGGGCTGTGGCTTGAAAACCTTGCCAGTCCTTGCTGTAAATAGTTCTTTATATAAATTCCTGTAATTAAATGGTGTGTCTACACATGCATCTACTCCGGCCTAAGTTTACACTGGTGTAATATAATCTGGTGTAAATCCTTTTGGGCAGGCATCTACACATGCAGGGATTAGGCAGCAGATTTGTACCCAGTTTCATGCAGCCCTGCAATGGGCCCCTGCTGCAACTGGGGGGAGCTCCAGCCCCCTCCAGGTGCTAGCCCAGGGGCTGGCAGGGAGCTGCTGGCCCTGGCTCCCGGATCAGGGGCATGGGGCTTGGAAAGAGCTCCCCAACCCTCTCCAGCACGGAGCTCTGTGACCACGGGGACACTGCTGGGAGACCCTTATCTCCAAGCCTCCAGCTCTGCCATCACAACTGGGGAGGTAGGGACTGGGAGGCCCTTATTTTCCAGCCCAAGCTCCATGGTTGCGGGTGCAGGGCTCGACCTGGGAGACCTTTATCTCCCAGCCTGAGCTCCACGACTGCAGAGCTCAGGCTGGGAGATAAGGGTCTCTCAATTGCGATAGCGGAGCAGGGACTTGGAGAGCTGGGAGATAAGGATCTCCCAGCCCCAGCTCCCTGATTGTGATCTAGGAACAGGGGGGTTGGAGCTCCCTGCTGCAGGGGCAGGGGGACATAGTCCCCATTTGGGCTCCTGTGTCAAAGGCTGCCCTGGCAGCAGGCAGCTCTCGGGGGCAGGGAGCTATCTCCTGCCCCCTGATGGACTGCTGACTGGGAACCTTCAAACTGAGCAGATTTTGCTCCTAGTCCATTGTTTACATGAGTGCTATGGCATTGTTACTAATCCTGGGGAAATTTGCTACTTGCATTTGCAGGTAGTCAATTGCGATAGCGGAGCAGGGACTTGGAGAGCTGGGAGATAAGGATCTCCCAGCCCCAGCTCCCTGATTGTGATCTAGGAACAGGGGGGTTGGAGCTCCCTGCTGCAGGGGCAGGGGGACATAGTCCCCATTTGGGCTCCTGTGTCAAAGGCTGCCCTGGCAGCAGGCAGCTCTCGGGGGCAGGGAGCTATCTCCTGCCCCCTGATGGACTGCTGACTGGGAACCTTCAAACTGAGCAGATTTTGCTCCTAGTCCATTGTTTACATGAGTGCTATGGCATTGTTACTAATCCTGGGGAAATTTGCTACTTGCATTTGCAGGTAGCAAATTTACTTACAATTAGGGAGGTTTACTGTGAAATAAGCATGTGCACCTGTAGACGCACATGCTTACTTCACAGTAAACTATGCAAATGCGAAGTTAAGCATCCCATTTAGATGTGCACAAGGTGTCATTACCATATCAGAACAGATCATGTGCTGTTTCAGGCACAAGCTACAGTGCTCAGCCAATAGCTAAGGCTGTGAAGGTTAACGCAAGACTCTACCTCTTCAGTTTGCTGAGTGGACAGAAGCAGTCGCTGCCTTAGCAGCTGCAGGGCATGCACAGTGTCTCCAGGAATGCATTTTTTCCAGTGAAGAAAACAGCTTCTCTGCTTAAAACACATTCCCCCTGACTTTTGGGGGAAGAGATGTGTGCTGTATGTAAGAAAATACAATAATAAAATGCAGTTATCTACCAGTATCACTAGTGCAGTATATGTGTTGTGCCCAGTTTCTGTACCTGGATTAACAAGTAGAGGGCAGGCATTTAGGTAATTTTGAGTTTCTCAGCATTACATTAAAACCTCCTGCACACTTCAAACAATAGCATAATATTTTATCAACGATCATTATTAAACCATATTATATTTTGATAGTGTGGGTTATTAAAGGATCTATATCTCTTTTCACAGCCTTTTGGAATTGCTCTGGTTCTTTTAGCTTTGAAATGACAACCACTGAAAAGGTCCTAAAAAGACACAGTTAGCTGTCTTAGTCTGAAGTGAAGAAGGCAGGGTAGATATGCGCCTTATAGAATAAGCAAAGTAGGTATATATCAAGCACAAGCTCTATCTATCTATCTATTTAGATATCTATACCTATTTTGGTTTGTCTATAAGGTACAAATCTATTATGCTTTTTAAAGGTCCCAAAGTTGAGGTAGGTGGATGTAGATCCAGTCTCAAAATGTGGGATGTAATGGGACTTCTAACCTCCCTGATATTTCTGGTTTCCAACTGCTTAACCTTCAAACTGAGGTAAGCAACCTACACCACAAGTATGACCATATGTGTGAACTGAGCCAGGAATCAATGATGCTAATAATTACCATGGTGCTAATGATTACCTTGAATTCTAGAAGTGATTCTAATAATTTGTCATTCATGCGGCTTATAAAGACATTGACCATTGCTATGCTCGGTAGCAGGCAAACACAGCAAAACCAGTCCAATTTAAACATGAGCTGGGATTCCCAAAAAGGATGAACATATTGGGCCAATGTCTGCTGCCTCTGCTATGCTGTGAGGCCAGCCCTGACAACCAGCTCTTAGTCATAGATCTGCTTTGAATTGCACTGCCAAAACCAGCCCTCAATGAATCTTTCTAGTAAATCACTAGACACCAGCCAAAACGCAATCAGACTCCCCGTCTTCAACCATGACCCTTATGCTAGGACATCAGCTATTTAGACATTGCCATCCAGGGGATCCCAGGAGAATCCTCAGCTAGCTGCCTGAGCCAGTTTCAAAACTGCATGGTGCCTCTGGATGTGCACACATACAATACTGTGAATGTGATCACTTCACTACAAAGGGGCAATGCATTTTCATAGGATTTTCAGAACAAATTGACAGAACAAGTAGAACTCATTGCATAGATATGAAGCATATATAGAACATGCTACAGAAATAGCAAGGCTGGGTGCACAATTCCAGATGGGCTAGGAAAGGAGGGTATACGTGTGTGTGTTTCAGTTCTAAGAGAGCAGGAGGAAGATAGAGAGTGGGGTTTCAGACGTTCATTATCACTTGCAAGCATGAATGCTGAGAAATAGGAGAAACAGTAAAACAAATGGCATGCGATGTCTGAGGAGCCTACTGAAATTCAGAATTTCCATTTTGTATGAAATATCAACATTGTGAAATTTGTTTTCATTCCAATTTTGAATGGAAAAAAATACTTTTCTGTGCATTAGAGAAATTTTATTAAGAGCCGCAGCCACTTAATACTACTCAAAACATCTTATCTTCTTTGCTACATCAAAAGGCATCTTAATGTTGTTGTAATGCTTGATGCTTTGTAACACCAAAAACAGAGAGATAAACTGATCTAGAAAAGATGTTTCAATAAGTATTATACGGCACTGCCTTTAATGGATTTAAAAAAAATAAAAATAGAATATTTTAATTCTGTCCTATATTTGGTATGCCAGTCATTATAATACTGCATAATACTTATACTATTTTAAAATTATTTCATAACATGTCAGTAGTAGTAGTATACAACATACATTTTTACTGACACACAAAAATAATAACACTTAAAAAAATGATCTCCCTCCCCCATAATATAACATTTTGAAATGAAATTCTGGTATATCCAAAATAAAAAATAATACAAACTGATTTTTTTTAATTTGTTTAAATTTAAAACATTAGTTATGTTGAGACTTTCACTGAAATTGCCATTTTTGTAAAAACATTTTGATTTCAACACAATCAATATTTTAGCTGGAAAAAAAAATGGCTAAAGGCTTCTAATTTATGTGTGATTAAGGAAGTATTAGAACACAGGAAAAGGTACTATGGATTCACAGAGGACCAAATCCTGAGTCTCTTACATAGGTATGACCCCGATGGAAAGTATAGGGATTATACTTAATCTAGTTTGTGCATATATCTTAGAATGGAATACATACCAACTTTC